TGAATAAATTCCTTGGTTTCTGTACTCTTGGTCTCCTCGTTCCTTGCTCCGTGTTCCCGCACCGTAACAGATCGTGACAGAATACCGGACCAAAAAGTAAGCGGCACCCCTTCTCCCCGTTTTGATTTCCGTTTTTTGAAAGTTTTTGCTTTGTTGTTTTTCCCGTGCGTTCCTCCACGTCCCCAAATGGAGGAACGATTAATGTTTATCGCGTTGGCTCAGGCGAGCCCAGACCCCGTCGTCTTTGCAAGGGCGTTCGTGCCGCTCGCCCTCACCAGCTCCCTCGAGGGGGAAACCCTCGCAACGCTGTTCCGGATCGGAATGACATTCCATCATCCCACGGAGCTCCCAGACACCACCGACCTCGACTGGAAGGAGACAGTCATCTGGTGTCTGGAGAGTCTCCGATTCCGATCCGGAACCCCTCCGCGGGCAGTTCGCGTCCTTGCTCCGTGTTCCCGCACCGTAGCAGATCGTGACACACAGTGAGTGCACACTCCTCTCACAGGTTTCTGGGAAAGCATGCAAACTCCACATCCCTGAGTCAATCCTCATTGAATTTTAGAATTCAATCAGTAGTCTGATTGGGTCAAATTGGACTGGATCTCTCAAGTCAAAAGCAAGAACAACATAACATAGGTGTTAGTGATATTTGCATATGTATCCAACTATCCAATTCTATATTTATATATGTATGCACTTTATTTTTGAACCATGTTTTTGATTTTTTTAACAAATTACAAATCGCTCTCTCGCGCTCTCTCTAGTGTTTTTGTACATTTGATTTTATTTTTATCTAGACCACTACATGGCACAAAAAGCGCAGATCCTTTCTAAAGTTGCTTGTTTGACACATGGAAATGTGTCTGATCCTTCACACTATCACAGACAGATCATGTTGATGTAATATTTCATGTTTTTTTTTTTTTAAATGTTAAAGATTTATATAGCAAATAAGAATGATTAAAATTGATATAATGACTAAAATTTATTTATACAATAACTAAAAACACATTCTCACTCGCAACTTGTCATATATTGACGCTTGGTCAGAATGCTATGCATCACTTTTTAACCCTCAGGGTACCCCTTTAACGCCATTTTTCATCATGCAGGGTGCTCCATTGCTTTCAATCAGAAACCTTTGGTGTCATACACAGACGCTATGGGCATTGGAATATCTCCATGATGAAATTACATAGTGGGGTATTAATAAATACCTGTAAATAAATATTTATACAATACATACCCGTGAATAAGTGATTTTGCCTGTTTAGTGTTTTATGTTGTTGAGAAGTGGGTAGGTTCAGGGTAGGAGTGGGGTTAATTGCTCTAGTATCTATGAAAGTATGAATATTAATACACTTTAAATTTTTTATACTTACATTTTTTTCAATTTATACTTTTACACATGCAAAGAATTTCATGCATCGTGACCTGACACATGGGTCTCTTGATCTGAGGCAAACAACTGAAAGCAATGAAGTACCCTGCACGTTGAAAAATGATGCTAAAGGGGTACCCTGAGCGTTAAAAAAATGATGCAGAGGGATCCTGACCGAGCATCAATGTGTGATGAGTAGGGAGTGAGAACGCCCTGGTAAAAGCATGGCATTTGGGAAAAATTATAAATAGCTGGCTGACTTCCATTCGTTGACATCGTTAGATTCAATAGACCAATTTAGAGTAGACATCACAGTTACGTCACTTGCAGCTGCGCGCGCATAGTGGTTGCAGAAAAACACTGGGAACAAGTGGAGGTAAATGGGTAAAATCCATGGAATAAAATAAAAAAATATTTTTGTGCATTTTGATTTCAAGATCGGAATGCAAATAATTTTTTATAGAATACTGTCGTCATTTGAAGCTAAACGCAGACGTTTAAATGGACATACTATGGATGAAAACTGCTATGATTACTCCACTTTTAAAGCATAAATTCGATTTAAACAATAGGTCTACATAATATTCACATATGCTGTTCATAGGGGACGTATTGTATTACCCCTATAGTTACAGCATGAAATATTATTTAAATCTTACTATTAGAAATATTATTTAAACGTAAAGGCTATCTCTCCCGGGTTTTCTGCAACCATGATGCGCGCGCATCCTGAATGTTTACAAACCGATAATTGGTCTATATGATCCTATTTAGTACAACACACACACACACACACACACACACACACACACACACACACACACACACACACACACACACACACACACACACACACACACACACACACACACACACACACACACACACACACACACACACACACACACACACACACACATATTGTTAAGCATCTGAAGCGTATGCTGTCCATTAGGCGCCATTATGTGTCTGCCTCTTGAAAACATTTTCCCCATCTGTGGACAGCAGTGCAGGAAATGGCTGTTCACTGTTAACATCCTCTGCGCTTATACAGTGCATTTAATAAATTATTGGTTTATCGATGTGCTTAAATTGCACACATATTCATGAGTATGTACCTCTGTTTTAGGGAACTCTGAGTATGTGAACTCCACTGTGGGGACAGCAAGCTGATTGGAGAAAAAGCTCAAATCTCCAGGTGTCTGCAGTGAGCTGACATTTGGACCAGGACAACCACCTCCTCTACTGCAGCTCATCGAATGTCTCTGAAAGATAAACACACATGCATGATGATAATTTGTGAGAATATACACCAATCTTCAATGCAAACTCGTTGCCTACTATAGTTATTCAAGTCAAAGCTATGCTTCTTTCTATAGTGAACAGAATAACTTGATTAGACCTTCTACAATGGTTTCTACAGATTAATACAGTATTGATATGTGGGAATGCATTTAAGTAAGGGACTTTTATTAAAATGTTCTCACTGTGAGAGATATGTTGACAGACGAATACGAAAAGTGAATAATGAAAAGTGTTTTTCATGTTTCATGTGAGTTGAGTGTTTAAGCATGTGATGTACATGAAATGTGTGTATTAATGCATTCTAAATATGGTATTCATTGAATAGAAAATCTCATTTGTAGTTGCACATAATGCGCATCATTAAAGCCCTGCCTAAACCCTAAGCTGCTATTGATTTCTCATTGAGTGATGGTTTAGGATTAATCTGTTTTGGTTGAAACTGTCCCTCGGCTGTTTAATAACTTAAAGGTTTAATTGTATTGATCACAAAACTGTTGCTAAATGAACAGATTCTGTTCTGTTGTACAGCAACTGACATGAGCATATTACTGTTTGTTAACATGAACAAATTACTGTTTGTCAGCATACACAGAAATACATACACTATGCAAACCTCAAACAAGTGCAGATGATGACTGGCAGGGCCAAAGTCAATGTAAATCTATACAAAGACTGTTTGAAAGCACACACACGCAAGAAAAAAAAACAAAAAACAGATTGCTGTGTTACAATCAACTGTGACCAACAACAGTCATCAGAGTAATTCATATCAGACAGGCCCTGAAAAACAAACATAACAAAACAGCTGCAGCTGGACTCAACGCCAGGGTATACTTCTTTTTCTGCGTTCCGCTCTGTCTCGCACACAACCGTGTCTGCACAGCTTTCAAAGTATACTCAACAAAGTATGCTTGTTCCACATTCTATAATTACACACATAATACACATACATATTGCATAAGCACACTGTAGACCAAAATAACACTAAACTAAAATAAACATAAAAAAGTTAA